TTTGTCCTAAAGTCTTATTTGTCACATTCTGTTCCTTAGGCATGGCAGATTGATTTTTCATAATTTGTTTGCTTCTTGCCTTTCGTTTTAGTCCCCCTCCTCACTGCGAGCAGCATGCCGATCCTCCTCTTTGCCTCCTGGGGAAGGTAGCCCAGCACCTCTCTCTCGCTGCTGCCACTTTCACTCACAAGTGGAGCAACAAGGATCCCTGCTCTGGTAAATAAGAAGTAAGCGGAGCACCAGTCCAGCTAGCCTCGCAGCCACCCTTCGAGAAAGGACGTTCACATTGTGAGGCAACGAATCCCGTAGGAGAAAAAACTACTGAAGAACTAAAACAGAACCCAGAAAGCCTGCATTACTGTCCAGGAAGTGTGGTACTTTTCTCTTCTGCTAATTCTTAGAAATTGTGGGAGTCACCAGTACAATGTAGAACATTATCAACTACTAATAATTGATAGGCTTAAGATAATCTTTTAAACAATGTGAGACTTTCTCTTTGCTCATTTACCACCCTACTCCAGCCAACATACACATAACTCTTAACATAATTCCCTAGGATAGAAGTACCTATTATCTAAGAGGTACTTTTCAATAAAATATACTTTTTTCCTGGCACTATTCCATAATTGCATCTTTGAAGGAAGTTTATATTTTATATCAATATTACTTTTTTCCTGAACATGCTTATATCATCCATTCCTCAGACATTATGACTTTCCAAAAAGATGCATATTTGTCATTAAAGACAACTACAATGGGACAGAAAAGTTTCTTTAATATATGTGATTTCAATGTCTCAAGGCTAACTTGAAAACTCAGCTTCATTTTAAAGCATTGCTTTGTCAAGTTAGGCTCTGTTCTTTTTTTCCTCCTGCCTGTAATGCTGTTCAGCTCTTAAAGCCACTGTACACAAAGGAAAACCTGTAATGCTAAAGAGCATATAAAGTTTCTCTTCCTCCTCACTTTCTGTATACAATTTTTTGCACACTATAACTAAAAAGCTTTGTGAAATCCCAAGATGATGTGTCAGAAAGGATAGGTGTCATCAGAAGTAATGTCTACCACCAATACAGTCTTCAAAATAATCTACTAAATGGTAAGAAGAGCATTTTGTAGAGCTGCTAAGGTTAGTCACATCTTGACTTCCAAACCCAAATCTGAAAGCTACCCTCCAGCAGACGATGCTATTGTTCAAAACAAACAAGCAAATGTATTCATGTATAGATAGGTTTCTGTATATTTGACACCCGGGTGCTCAATCTAGATTTCTAATTATATTAGTCAACTGTCTGCACTTCATTAAATAACATATGTATTAAAATCTACCAGCACCCTTATGGTAGATTTTCTCTTCCAGAAGTGATTTGAAATGAAAAAAAAGGCATAGAGTAAGAATAATGCATGTTTTATACAAAGGAATAAGAGGCTTGCCTGGCCAATATATAGTCTGAATTATTATCTAAAGGTAAGAATAAAAGAAAAACATGGGTTTGGGATTCAGAATGCATTCAGAAGGCTTCAGGGAGTCTTCACACATACCTGTGGCACATGATCCTTCAGACACCACAAGTATCTCGCTTTGCTGTTTGCAGGCAGCCTGCCGCAGGTAGCACTCATTCTGGTAGCTCTCCCCATTGGAGCCACACACAGGCACGTAGTCATTGTTGCACTGGGGAACACACAGATGTAAGCCTATGGTTAGTACTGGGGTCTGCATGCCTCTGACTTTTTGAACAGAAATAATCATTTACAGTAGAAAGCACTTGTCTTCCTTTTCAGTGATCCTCATTGTATCCAGTAAGTCTTTGACCTTGCAAGGGAATCATTCAAAAACATACAAAAGCAATGTCAAGTCAGCCAGCCAGTCATTTGATTCAGATTGGAGAAAAAAAAACCACCTTCTAAATTGATCAGGCAATTCCAACAAAGTGATCAAACAAGCAATACTAAAAAAAGATAGCAGCAAGTATATCAATATTGTTTAATACTGTTTTTATGATATATGGTTCATTTGGCTTGATGGGAAAAATAAACCATGCTACAATATTAAAAGCTATTAAAAAATAGGTAATGTCTATCTATATTTGGAGAGCAAAAGTATATAGCTGAAATGCCAGGAAATTCAATTACTTTTTAGCATGTTTTTTTCTCTGTTGAATTTTAATCTTTATAAATTTCTAAATAATTGGATAAGGCATTTGGATTACCACTTAATTTTTCTTATATCATTACATATGAGATATTGATGTAGATACAGTGGAGAAATGAAATACAGGAAAAAATTCAGCAATTACTGAACTATATGTAAATTTATTGACTATTCAACAATATGACTATTAATATATATTTCATAAAGAGAAAATTTCAGTTTAAAAAGTCTTATTATTAAAAAGTACACATTTTATAATGGAAATTAGGCAATCTACAGGGTATACTCATCACAATATAATCACAGTCTAAGGCATTAGAGATACTTGGCTCTGTCCTGTACCTGCTAATTATGCCAAAGATGTGATTATCTTGTGATTACTACTACAGATGTGCTTCATTGTTCAATTATAACAGATATAATGATGAAGATGATTATTTATAAATACCTCACATATGCCAAAAACTGAGTAAAGTAAATCATACATACACATGTATATGAAAACACTTTGCTGTCTTCTACTTCTTGTTAAAATATTTGGATTTTTTAATGTGTCATAATGCATAATACTTTGCAATAAACCAATAATCTAGTGAGATGGCTAGGAGAGTTTTAATATATATAATAATAAATCTAAAATTCTATCATTAGTTAAATTCAACTCAAGGATTTATGCAACAAAAGAGGAAATTCTCAGTAAGGTTACAATCTGATGATAAAAACCTGAGATTTGTCTTTTGCTCTATTTCCTTATAATATTTGTACTTTCTCCTTCCCAATCAATCATCAAATTCTTGCTCTTTGCATTTATGTGATATTGGGTTAATCATCCTAACAATTTAAAATGGTATAAACCAATGTTCTTGGAAATGAAAGGCATTTTATGAGCCTTACTTTATATCAGTTAATGAAAAACTTAAATATAATTTTTTTACTAACAGTGATAAACTTTTCTTCCAATAGTAAATCCAAATTCTATGACACTAATATTATGATCACCATAATTGCTAACAATGGTGATTTAGATATTAAATCATATCTATTTGTAAATTAAATATCATTAAAAATGATTTAAATATTTAAAACATAGTATATTTTAGAAATCTTCTTTAGTTCAACAATTCCTAATCTAGACATTCTGGAAGCCCTCTCAACAATAATTCCTTTCCACAGTTATACTATTGGCTCCCAGACTCAGTCTGTCTACATGATCATATTTTAAAAACTGTGTTAACTGAAACTTTTTGCTAATGAGAATCTTTAGTTCAATAGCCAATTCACTTCTGATCAGGTGATACATGTGTAAGGGCAGCCTTCCATATCCTTTCCAAATATATATATATATACATATATATATATATATCTGAAAATTAGCCAACCATAGTACTGAACATCATCATTACTTAAGAAAAAAGGCAATAGCAAAACGTCAGTGAAGAGTTGAATTTTCCAATGATCAGTACTGAGGAAACACCAAATAAACAGGGATGGTGTTCATGGCAGAACCATGGCCAGGTGGATGGATAGGTGCTTGACAAATGTGGTGTGTTCAGGACCAGGGACAGGAGAATATAGGAAGGATTTATGAGGACTCACTAACACTACAATGGTATGTAAGCACTTGGAGGGGAGACCATGAAGAAGTAAACAGCTGGGAACATATTATAGTCAGTAGACTTGCTGACCCTTTCAGTAGACAGAAGAGAGTCATAATCAGTGAGGATGACTGGACTAGTTAGCTTCTTAGGTCCTAGCATTCTTGTCACTGGTTACCTTTTAATCTCTATCTCCAACCCTGGTTACAACGCTTTGTGTGTTGATTATTTAGGTCCACAGTTTCTTCTCTCTGATCCCTTGAATTTCCCTATTTATCCTTCTCATCTACTTCTGCAGATTATTTAGATGTAGTGAATGGACTGGGAGTGAGTTGTGGGAGGTATTTATAATCTCTGTCAAGTGCTAGCACACAATCCTGAAATATCGAATAAACTGATAAAGTGTTCATATGCCATTTCTGAGGGATGCAGTAAGCCAAATGTGAACACTGTTAAAAACAGAGCTACCAAGTTCCATACACAAGCCAAGAGGGAGATTCGTATGGAGCTGAAAAGAGCTTAGCTGTAGATTATCAGCAAGATGTTTTTGGCCCTTTAGTACCATGCCTTACATTCATTAATATGAATGACACAAGGAGGAAGCACACTCTAAATCATTAAGTCTCAGATTGGCCAGTACACCATTTGATATACAGATAGAAATGTAGGATACATGAGGTTGGACCCCATTTCTAGAACTCATATCATCACTTAAGAAATAGTTGTATTACTTTTTTAAAAATATGTTTTTATTGATTTTAGAAAGAGAGGAAGGGAGAGGAAGAAAGAGAGAAACATCAATGAGAAAGGAACATCGATCTGGTCCTAGGTTCTCCCATTTCTCTCACTGCCTTGGTGTAGGACTTTGTGTATTATCACTCAGTGATGAAATATGTAACAAGTTTATACCTCAGTTTCCCCATTTGAAATGGTTAACTGGGGCACTTAGGAGAATTTACAAAGTCATGTTTTTTAAAAATACTTTGCAATATTCATTTATAAAAAAAAAATGATTTGCCTTTCATGATATGTATTTTAACTAACAGAGTCACTGCCATCTAACATGGACATTGAAACATGCATGTCCAAAATTAAAAAAATAAAGGAAGACCGGATAACCCTAGCATAAAATTAAGCTAACTACTACATTAAAATATGCCAGGTTGTTTGAAATCATTTTTAGTAGTAATCATAATACTGCTCAGTTTCAGATGAAGGGACATATTCAGATGTTAAGTGACTTACTAAAGGCTACAGAGTTGGCTGGTAAGAGAAGAAACAAGACTTGAGGCCCAGATGGTTGGGCCCATAAATGAATGTGTTGTACAAACTTCCTCTCAGGGAAAAAGTGATTCTATTTCTCATAAGATGTTTTAAAATCTTAAGTTTATTTTCTAAATATGCATTTTTCAGTAGAATAATTTTGTTCCAAAATGTCCACATTGGTTAAGAAAGCAGCTACATGCCACACTGGTAGATTCAATGACTTGACACTCTAGAATATATGGAATTAATTTTGCTACAAATGAAAAAACATTTATGTGAGAAGTTTTTTATGTGAATGATTACTTGTTTGGTTAATAAGGATTTCATTTAGCTGAGATTTCAGCATCTAGAAACTGCATAACTTCTATTTTCTATATTGTCTGCACCTTCCATAGAGTCTGGCATGTAGAAGGTTCTCCACAGATGTTAACTGAATTCTGCTATATTTCTGGTTGCCAAAGGCTTGGGAATAATGACTTAGGATATGTTATATTTCTCTTCCAAAAGAAAAAAAGATTAAAAATATGCATTATGTTCCAATCCTTTGATTATTTCATAGGTATCTTTTACTTCTCTGTGACTATGTTTCTGTATATGGAAACATTTTTATGATTTTAAAAGAGTGGGCAGCCTGTGACTATGGTGAAAGTGACTCTCTGACTTCCCAGACTAGGTCATTAAAGGCTGCAGCTTCTACCTGGCTCTTTCTCTCTCTCTGGATGCTTGCCCTTGAAACCCAGCCACTGTGCTGTGAGGAAGCCCAAACTAGCCCACACAGAAAGATTCACATGGAAAAGAACCAAAGTTCCCAGCCCACAGACAGATATAAGAATGAGAACCTTGAGATGAGTATAGAACCAAACCTTGGAGTTCCCCCCTCACCTGAGCTAATGTCAAGGGGAGCAGATATGAGTTGTTTCCATTAAGCCATGTCTAATTACAGAGTCATGAGCAAAATAATGTTCATTGTTTTTTGCCACTGAGCTCTGAAAAATTTGTTATGCAGCCCTAGTAAGTGGAATAATTGCAGATCTAAAGCATGGCTTATTAAAAAAAATATTTAATATTTGAATAAATAATACCCAAACACATAAGGCTTCATCATATTTTAAAATTATAAGGCGATAATTGATCAGTGCTATATATGAATAACTACATGTCCTCCCCCCCTCC